TCTCTATATTTCTTGACATCAGTCATCTTCTCTGCCATATCAGTATAGTTAAGTTTTTGTTCACATGGTGTCACTCGTGGTTTACAGTCTTGCATCTCAAATCGTTCAAGTATTTTTTCCACATATCTCTTCTGTGACATTGTAACACAGTTATCACTTTGATCAAAATCGATACCAAGAAAATGTTGCAGTTGACCTAAGTCTTTCATCTTGAACTTTGTTGTGAGCATCTCCTTCACAACCTTCAGTGGATTTTCATCACTGGCAGCAATGATCAAATCATCAACCCATATGATCATGATCACTTTCTCATTTTCTGTTTCCCTTGTGTAAACACAATGATCAGAAGGGTTTTGCACAAAGTCATTTTCACTTAGATATTGCAACATCTTGTTCCAATTTCTGCCCGACTGTTTTAGTCCATATAGAGACTTTTCCAGCCTAAACACCAACTTCTCATTTGTGTTAGATTTGACCTCATAACCCTCTGGTTGCTGCATGTAAATCTCACAGTCTATTGGTGCATGGAGGTAGGCAGTCTTGACATCCATCTGATGTAAAATCAGGTTTTCCTGTGCTGCTTTCTGCATTAACACTCTGATACTCGTCATGTTAGCAGTAGGAGAAAAAGTCTCCTCATAGTCTACACCCATCTTTTGACTATATCCTTTGGCCACATATCGCGCCTTGTATTTGTCAGATCCATCAACATTGTTTTTAACTGCATACACCCATCTACCCCCACTGCTTCCTGTCCCTTAGGTAAGCTGGTTAGAGTAAACGTGTCATTTTCTTTTAGTGACTGCATCTCTTCATTCATCGCATTGACCCATTCACTTGAGTTAGATGAGGTTACGGCTTCCTTGTATGTTAGGGGTATATTACTCATTAACCTGTAACAATAGTCTATGTTAGTCAGTACCTGATCGTCACTCTCCCCACCCGATACATATTCGGACAGATAACTTGGTTTCTTCCTCACTCTAGGAGGGTATCTTTTAGGTCCATCTCTGGCCTCATCTGGCTGCGTTTGGCTGTTTTCCTCAGGCATAGTCACTGGAACCTGAGTACTTCTCGGACTCGCATTAGCATTTTGCCTGATCTTGTTTGCCCTATTCTGGACCTCAAAATCGTCATCATCAGGAGTCAAAACAGTTTGTGTCTGCCGATCCAAAACTGTTTTGGTCACAAACTTCACCAGTCTGTATTTCTGAACTTTTCCACTGTCAGGATAGTAGACCATGTAGGCTGGGCTATTTTTGTCATACCCGACAAAAATTCCCTTCTCACACCTTGAGTCCAGTTTTCTCTTGTCCTGTTTATAGGCAAAACACACTGACCCAAACTTTTGCATCCTGGAAAGGTTAGGCTGTTTTCCTGTCAACACAAAGTAAGGTGTCTGTTTTGTGCGCTTGTTAAAGCATCTGTTCCTCACTACAGCTGCTGTTTGTACTGCATGGGTCCATAACTCCTTTGGTAACTCACTCTCTATCAGCATACACCTCGCCATATCAAATAGGGTGCGCCAATTTCGCTCAGCAGTGCCATTTTGGTGTGGTGAATACGGTGCTGAGGTCTCATGTCTTATCCCATTTTTGTTGAGTAATGCCTGGTAACTTTTCCCCATGAACTCTGTACCATTGTCAGATCTGATGCATTTTACCTTCCCGTATGGGGCTGTGTCAGCAAGAAACTTCTCTGTTGCTTGCACTGTGTCACTCTTATGTTTCAGAAAGTAGACAAACACTGCACTGGAATAATCATCAGTGAATGCTAACGCAAACCTATGCCCATCTCTGGTATCTGGGTCTATAGGTCCCGCTATATCTGTGTGCACCAACTCTAAAGCTGCTTTGGCTCTTACATCAGGCTCTCTGTTCCTGGTTTGGATAAACTTTCCTTGAGTGCATACTTCGCAGTGAAGGACAGGTTTATCTGTTTTACCCTTAATCATCATGCCATCAACAACACCTTGTAACTTTTGAATATCATCATAATTACAGTGTCCCAAGATCTCATGCCATGTCTGCATATCATAACACCCCTTACTTTGGTTCACATTCATCACCCGCTGTGTGTAAGTAGTAAAGTCTGTTGTACTTGAATGTGGAATTTTGTACCGTCTTTATGTTGTAGAAGATCTTCCCCTTGCTTGAAGATTACGGTGGCTCCGCTGGAAGTGGCTGCTTCTACAGAAAAGATGTCCTGCGGGTAGGAGGGGATGTACAACGCCTGTTTCAGCGTTGTGTTGTGACGTCGGCCTCTGCTGTCGATCAAGCAAACCTCCGCATCTCCTCTGCGTTCAGCAATTCCTGTGCACCTTGTGCCGTCAGCCAACTCCACGCAGTGTGTCTCGGCCTGGAAACTCTCGTCGAACTTATTAAATTTCTTTATATCTGTGATGATGTGTGAAGTTGCTCCTGTATCCACCATCAGACCTGTTGCCTTGACACCGCGCCCCAGCTGGATATCCACGTCCCCGTCGCTCATCCGGAATGCATACTCCTTGCCGCTCACCTCTTCAGAAACCTTCCGCGCGTCATCTAGCCTCTGTTTCCTTCTGCAGGTTGCGTCCCGATGTGTGTTGCTCTTACACTGACTGCACCACTTCTTGCGTTGACATTCTCTGGCTTTGTGTCCTCTCAGGCCACATCTGAAGCACGTAATGTGCACACTCCCGGCTCCCCGGTCACTTGAACTTGCCAAAGCGGGTTTTTCACTCGGCTGCGCCCGCGCCTTCATGAAATTGTCAACTAATGCTATGGCGCGCATCTTCTCTGTGTCCTCATAGCTCCGTAGCTTAGTTTTAAATTCGGCAAAAGCCATCACCTTCTCATTTTGTGTGACATGTATAGCAAACGGTTTGAATGACTCTGGCAGGCCCTTCAAAATCATCGCTACTAACAGTCCATCACTTAATATCTCTCTACCAGCGTTTCTCAATGCCGTAATGGCGGTCTCTGCTCTTATAACATACTCAGTCACACTCTCGCTGTTCGACTTTTGGAGTGAAGTCAGTTCTGTATACAGGCTTATTACAAATGAAATTAATGAATGAAATTAATTATTACTTTACATGAAAGGTTCAGTGAGCAACAAAGTAGTATCACAGACAGAGTTAAATGTTCAGCCAGTTTACAAATAAGACTGCTTCTATCAGCACATAAACATAAACGATCTATATCCTGCATGAAAACACTACAATGTAAATTCAGGTCACTCATGTTACCGTTTCCATAAAAGATACACCTAGTGTGCTTCACCAAACGCACCGTAGTCGGCTAACATGAAGTTACTGGAGCTAGCATCAGTTAGCTGCCCCATTTTCTCACATTAACATCGTTGTAAACAGTAAAACATGGCACCACAATTGACAACATAGTTAACATGAACATGTATGATGCTTGTGCACTTCTGTCACCTGTAAATATAACACAAAGACAGTCTTATATATCAGCTTCATCTGCTGCTTTGTTGACTGTCTTGTATTTACGACTGGGCTAACTTCCTTGTAAAACGGGATTATAGCGCCACTCGCTCCAGTACCAAAGCCGCTACTACCGCCTGCTGGCGGGAATAAATATAGCTCTACTGCTTCTTAAAGTGAGTCAGGTGAGTTTTCTCCAGATTAACAGTGACACAAAGCATGCTTAGTAGTAATAAACACAACAAAAATGATGGTAACAATCTTAAGTATTACCATAACGCTTCTAGAACTAACCTTAGCCACTGAAATACCCAGGGCGCCACACTAGGTCAAGACCTCCATGCACTGGGTACCTCTTTAGCTTGTTTTAGCACGTGTAGTATTGTTGTGTCGGTCAGGGAACGTTTCATTCATTTGAACTTTTACTTTTTATGTATCAATAGAGCCAATGGTGTTAATCCACAGCTCTTGACCGGTGAACAACCTGGCAGTGTTTGAGAGCTCATGTGTGTTTCTCTCTGTCTGCAGAATCCCGACCTGATGGGGCCCATTCTGTGTCCAGACCTACCAAACTACTCCGTTTATATTATGTGCTTATATTTCTTTGTTCCTTTCTCTGTGCTGGAATTATTTTAAGAGCTTGATGGCTTTATCCAAATTATTATTAAATTTGTTGAATTTTAATAATAGTGTGTTTATTCATATAGTGTGTCAATTTTATCATCAATATCAGCAAATCTGATGTTAATATATAGATTTTACTCATAGATAGGGACGTAAGGATACTGTATGAAAGAGCACTTTAGAAATATAGCCTAATGATAGTAATTATAATTATATACATATATGGCTGGTCTGAATTCTTGATTTGGAAAATGAACGAAGATTGCAAAAATGGACAGATTTAACAGGAGTAGTGGCTTTTGAGTATTGACAACATGATATAGTTTTTACATGGTTTACATGGTGAATTTGGTTGTGGCCCTGTGGGGCTTTATAGAAAGATAGAGAATAATCAGGAAGTGAATTTGTGCATTATACTTTGTCAACTGACGCGAACCAGATAGCCTTCGTTGTTTGAGTACTGAGCTGTTTCTTACATTGCCCATTAGAGGGCTGCAGCGCTGCACTAACAAGCGTAGTTCAAATGAAGAAAATGACTCAAAAAAAGATTAGTCAATTTTACTGAACAAGATTCAAAGATGCAATTCAGCAAAAAGACACTTTTTTTCACAACATATAGAGCTTTTTATATACAGTCTATGGTAGGGCTCCAAAGTCCTGGGAGTGAGGAACTGCTGGGTTTGGCTGCAGGAGATCAGATCCACTGACTCTCTCAGGCCAGGTCTAGCGGTTTGTGAACAGTAGCTACAATCATGTACTAAAATTAAAGTTGGCATCATTATGGGTAATTTAGCATTATTGCACCTTGGCATAGTTAAATAAATGTAACATCTACCTTAATTAATCACTGATATAATTCACTACCTGCCGAGCACACTATGGCTGGGTTCACACCTCTGGTTCTGTAAATGGAAAACAATAAAAGTGCAGTGGATCTTGCCATAAAACATTGTTCCAGCCAATAAGCAACAGGTGGCTTTGGCGCTCCTGCACAGGAGTGATGTGGGAGGGGGGCAGTGGGAGAGAGCAGGCGCGCGGGAAGACATTTTTGCTTAGGGGTGCTGCACAGTAAAAATGCACACATGACACGTCTGTGTGTGGGCACGCACTTACACACTTTCCTTCAACACAGAGTGGTTACAAGCATGGTCGTATAGAGTCACCGAGGTCCGGACCTCCGTATTTATATATATGTATGCATAAATAAAATCTTTCGAATAAAAAACATTGATAACACAATCAACTTAAATAAAAGCCATATGGGCGCAGCTGATTACACTGTCGTTTCCCTCATTTCAACTTGAAAAACATTTCCACACTCAGTGTTCATATTTGGGGAAATACATGAAGCACATGAAAACCTTGTGCGTGCAATAAGTGAGAGCACCACTGTTTCGGGAAGAATTTTGGAAGATACATTTTTTTAATTTTGGGCTGGGTGGTGAAGCTTCTCCCCATTAAGAGAGACGCTGTGCGCATTTACACATAGGGCACAGCAGCATAACTTGATATTTAAATCTCCCAATATGCCAACAGGATTAGTCAGAATCTAACATTAATTAATATTTTGCATTCTTCTCTACATCCATAAGGTCTCACACAAAGTCCAGGTTCACACAGAGAAACTGTCTGGAGTAAAGGAGCCGTCCTCCTGATCAATCCTGAGCTCCATCAGTGCATCTAAAAATTTTCAGAAGCTAAAAGTTGAATTCTGTTTCCTCTGCAGAGTTTCTTCTGTCCTGTCAAGTTTATAACTACAGTTAGTTTTGCAGCATAAAGGTCCCACAATATGTGACATTAATGCACCCATGGAAATGTTTAAAATGTTGACAGCAGCCTCTCTAATCATGAAAGCAAATCGTTAAAGAAAATACATCAACCCAATAAAGAAATCACTTGGAATGTTAAAAGGACTGGTAGAGGTGGGATAAATCTGAGAAAATAATTAGTTGGGTTGGGGGCCGGTGGATGATTTGTGCGTACATGATCATCATTACACCAATTCAGCTGCTATAATCGTGACAAAACATTGCAAACAGCTGCTGACATTAAATTATTAGGCTGTAATATGAACCACAGCATTCTCTGAATTCAGCACTAACCTGCTGTATTTTATGTTGTCAAATAATAACAATAGTGCCCATTATGTACACACACTGCACATGTAATTTTTTCCCGCGTGCTTGGGATAGAGATTTCTATACACCAGCGCATTCAATTGTGCTGGACTCAAGGCACTATGAAGAAGGAGAGATGGCTGAGAAACAGCTGAAGAGGAACAGGTCTGAAGAATACAAACAGGGAAGAAAGTGACCAGGCAAGGGTGAAGGCATTTCAACACTGTCGGGGTGGTGATGGCGCATAGATAATTCCTACTGTGAGACATCCACCGTTGTGGCCCTGAGCAAGACACTTAACCCCTAGTTGCTCCAGAGGCGTGCGACCTCTGACATGTATAGCAATTGTAAGTCGCTTTGGATAAAAGCGTCAGTTAATTAATAAATGTAAATGTAAATGTAACACTGGAGAAAACTCAGAGATTTGAGATTTGGGGGGCGGAGCTTTGGAAGGAGCACTGAGGGGAGGGATATATATGTTTGGCAGTTGGGTTCAAATATCCACAATCCTTCTGCAGAATAACTTATTCTCCCTTTAATACAGCATCTGTTTGATATTCATGACGATCTTAACGGCATAAAAGTTTTAGGACATCCACACACTTGATATTGTGAAACCCTTTGTAATTTCCTCTATTGTCCTCATTTTTCCCTTACCCAAATCTGGGTTTGCATTCTTTGTAAATTATTATATATGTATATTTTGGTAAAAGTTGAATTCCAATAAATATGTAGAACATACATACATATATCTTCTGATATTATACTGACCATTAAATAGTGCAAATAGTGTATGAACAGTAAGTACAGCAGTTGGGAAGATACTACCTGAAGAAAATGTGGGTGCTTTCATTAAAACACATTTACAATTGTGTTTGAATGTTGTATGTTTTGTGTCCTTCAACTTATTAAAATAACTTGTTAGACTGTTGGATTGCATCTTAAACTATGTGAACAGGGCCCGATCAAGCACCTAGTTAAAATACTAAGACATTCTTGTCAGTCTGTCAAAAAAAGTTGTTTTCCAAAGACAGATATTCATTACAATGGTCTGTTTCCTAAACCAGCACTCAGAAAGTACCACTACTGTAGCCTTTCCCCAAATTGTTTATGTTTTTAATGATGGAAAACTAAAGTTTAAAGAATGGCATTGTCGTGTGTTTATTTATCAATAAAATTTAACTTGATAAAAATGATTTAAGTTATTAAATTGCAATTGTAATATTTTTATTTTATGGGCTATACAAAAAAAAAGACAAAGCAATAACAGATCCCATAGCTTGTAAAATAGTGGTAGGCAACCAGAAATGGTCAAATGCTAGTGCTCAGCAGCCAACTGGAACTTATGACACACAACCGTTGTGGACATATATGTGAAATTGATGTCTGAGATCACCCATTTTAAATGTGTTGTCAACATGTGAAAAATCAATGTGTTAACAACATTTTAAGTTATTTGTACATATTATTAATGTAGGTTGTGTTATTAACATATTTTTGAACTGCTTGGCTTTCCATATACACAGAGCTCTGTGTGTGTGTGTGTGTGTGTGTGTGTGTGTGTGTGTGTGTGCGCACAAGTGTGTGTCTGGAGGGTATGAAGAAGAACGTGGCTTGTGGGGGTGGGAGTGGGAGTGAGGGAAGTTCATGCCTGTTTTGTTTGACATTATAGGGCTGCTGAGCCTGTTCACCAGTTTAATGCAAGAATAGATCTCTGCATCAGTCCGTGAAACCTTGCCAACCTCGATGTCCTTGCAGTTTTATTCCTGGAATTATCATCTATTATTAGACTATTGCAGGAATTAATGTGTGTATAGCTGTGGTCCCAAACATAGGGATCGGGACCCCCTATTGTGTCCCAAGATAAATATGAGGGCTCACCAGATCATTAAAGGAGTAAGAAAAAAATATCTGAAATATGACATGATGACATGGTGTTTTAAATACCTACAGTATCACAGTATTAGCAAAATCTAATGATTTTTCACTCATAGGCTGTACTCATACAGTAGGCTCATGTGTGTCTGTGGCAGTAGAGTTTATTCTTTAACTGTGTGTCTGCTGTAAAATCTTAACATCCTCACACCTATTTTTCAACTATTTTATTAAAATGTCACGCATTACACTAAACTTTAATATTAGCTTTAAAACTGTCAGCAGAATGAATATTAACCAATTTTTTTACTGAAACATGAAGACCATGTCATAACAATTACAAATGTTACTTCAACTGTACATTTTCACTGATCATAGTAATAAACATAGTATTGTGGGCTTTATGTGGTGTGTTCTTGGCAATGCCTCAGCAGGTGAACTGACCAGCCCTGTGGAAACAACAGTCTGTAGAGTCTGAAAAGGCCTTTGGCACAGTGTGCAGTCTCATTGAACGTACATTGTTTCATGTCCTTCACAGTTCTCCCAGCGGAGAACACCATGGCTTTAAGGAGCCTGTGGTCCACCCATGTGTTAAAGTGTCCTTGAGCAAGACTCCCTTCTGCAGGGCTGCTGCTCTTCAGAGACCCTGACCTCTGACCTTCCTGCAGAAGGTATGCAGGTGTTGAATCATTCAAATATTTGCACATCAAGCTCAGGTAATTCTGGCAATACAGTTGTCTTCTGTGGTGTCCAGCATGCTGCTCGTGCTGTGGACAGACAGCAAGTATTTATCCTTTCTTAGAACCCGACTGATGGTACTAACCAGGACCTTCCTGTACTGCTGGCGCAGCAGACAGTAGACAAATGGGTCGCTGGAGGTCTTGGAATAGGACAGACATTTGGCGGTGATGCCCCAATACCGGGGGATGTGCACAGAGGGCAACAACTCCACCAACCTGCAGGAGAAATACAAGCAGAAGTCACTATACTGAATATATAAGCCAATTTCTGTTGCATTTGTTCAGGATATTGTGTCTAGTCACTCTGCCTTAATTGTTATACCACAGTAAAACTGTAAGATGTACAAAAAGGACATAATTAATAAACCCATTATTCTATCATCGGCACATCAGACACAGGAAATGTTAGGGCCATTATTGTAAAAGCATCTAAATACAAACAAGTTCTATGGAACGTTAACCAACTGGCATACAACCTGTAATAACAAAAGAGTAAGCTACAGAGCAGGGTGTTACCTTGTTATAACATAGGGTGAAAAGCAGAAGATAAAGGAACCTATGAAGATGCAAATTTTTTTAGCAGCACGCTGCCTCCTCTTCTTCTGTTCAGCTAGACACCTCTCCTTCACACTGAAGGGCAGATGCAGAGAGAGAGAGAGACTGATTCAGGTGTCCCATGACATCTTACACAATTAATAATGTAAATAATTAGCATTACAGAACAGCCCTATATAAAAATAAGTCGACGGTTTTCTCTGTTGAAACAAGTCAGACTGCAAACATCTATATCAGCCTCAAAGTTTTATCCACTTGGCCTACTTACCCGGGGTGAATATCAACCAGCAGAAGCAGAGTCTGCACTGTAATTACATCTATCCTCTTGCAGTGGGACCTGGCCACTCTCAGAACTTTCAGGTAGGCGAAGCACAGAACGAGGAGGGAGAGCGCAAAGCTGCTACAGTGGAACAGCGCGGTGAAGGTCGCATAGGCGGCCAGCTGCGACCTCTCCTCCACATCCAGGTGAACAGTGCACGAAGCGTAAGTGTGGCTGTAACCTCCCCAGTCCATCAGCAGCTGGACCAGAGAAAAGGTGAGAGATTGCAGCCAGGAGTACGCCACGATCAGAAAAGCGTCCCTGTAGCGCATCTTGCTGGAGTAACTCAGGGGAAACACCACAGCCACCCACCTGTCCATGCTCAGCGCGGCCATGCTCAGCATGGCATTAGTGGTGAGAAAAGTCTCAGCAAAACTGACAGATTGACAGAACAAGTCCCCGAAGGGCTTTGCACTTTTGGTCACACCGAGAAACGTGGCGGGCATGTTGATGATAGTGAGGAGGATGTTGGAGAAGCAGAGGTTTAGGATGAAGATGCCTGGTACGTGGGATCTTAAGTCGGAGCTCTGGGTGAAACATAGAAGCACTGACAAGTTTGTCAACAACGAGACAACAGCTATCACCACAATGGCCAATTCCAGTAGGAACTCCGGAATGCTCATCTCTCGAGGATCTGCGTTAGCAGCAGTTGCGGGGATGATGCTGCGGAGTGTCCGCCATGCTGTCTGCTCGTGCCCCCCACCAGCTGTGACGGATGGCAGTTTCCCCAGCGCACGTGCCAGAAGTGCGCTTGTGAGCACGAGACAAGTAGGAGAGAGCTGTCCAGTGCTGAAATACCCAAACAAGTCTCTAAGTCAGTGGCGGGAGCGTCTTATTAAAACCATTTAAAGTTGCTTAAGCTATCCAGTGATTAAATTTGTGTCGGTGCTGTTTTTATTTCTCCAGTGATTACCCTCCTGCGGTTTAGTCCAACGCAAAATGCCGTGAAAAGAAATGATGACTTCAGATATCCAAGTGCTGTGCGTTTACGCTCGATCATGCGCACTCTCCAGCACCTCCTCTCTCGGCTGGCAATTCCGTGCGCCCTGCACGTGTAGTCGGTAGCTGGCTCATGTGACGCTTGAACAATACTCATACAAGCAGGAGTTTATATCGGAGATGGGGATGTCATGGTACTTGCACTAAAATTTCACATTTCTCCCCTAAAATATGACATTGTGCTTTTGCCTGAAAAAAGCCCTGAGTGACGGCTGTGGGAATATGTTTGACACTGGCACTGCCTAAAAATTGAGAAATATTATAAATTCGTGATGTGTGTGTGTGTGTGTGTGTGCATTTGTGTGTGTGAGAGAGAGTTATTCTTTGGATCTTCCCTTTGACATACAGCATATTTCCTTTAAAAACCCTTACAGTAGATCAGCGTGAGCACATAGCCACAGTTAAACTGCGACCACAGTGACAGATTTAGTCCACCCCCTGCAAAAACATCGGGTGATGCACACACATGTAGCCACACACACACACACACACACACACACACACAGAGAGAGAGAGAACTACCCATTTCCATAGCAACACCAAATCTCTGGTGGCTCTGTAACTCTTTGAACTTCGTCTTTTTCAGCGCTGATTTGTGTTGATCTCCCCTAAAATGCCTGTAAGAAACATTTGCCTTGCCATGTTCATTTAAATACAGTTCTTGAAAATATCAGACACTGTTTAAGGCATCATCTAAATTACAAATGCAGGTTGATGAGAAGAAAGAGTACGAGAAGTGTGAGAGGAAGGACGGGACCTGAGGCTGGAAAGAAAAAAGGATTAAGGGGGAGGAAGGATGTGTGCAGGAAGGATAAAAAAAATGGATGATGTCTACATTTGCCTTCCCAGAATGTCTTAAAGGCAGCTCTAGTCTATTTTAGGTGTGAAATTATTTCTATACACCTTCTAAACTATAATGCTAATGGGGTTAAATACAAATAATGATAATACAAAATCTATCACAATAACAAGCTGGTGGAAATGATCTGAAGTGATATTTGCACATTCAGGTATGTATTTCCTATTGAAGATTTAAGAGCCTACTCAAAAAGAAACCAAACAAAGAAGTAGTGTATATAATAGAATAGAAAGTGAAATAAAATGCACATTGTTTGTGTAGGCTATTTCCTTTTTATGTACAGTATGTATTTACTGTGTCATAATTGAATAAAACATCTTTTAAAAGGACAAACATTTAGCGTAATTCTTTGATAACTGAAGATTTGATTAGATTGTTTTTCATTGTTTTTTTTAAATTTAATTTTACTGTATGTTTGATTAGTTTTTATTTAGGCATTTTAAATCTTCCATAGTTTTCACCTCTGCACGCATGCAAGCATGAGTGAGCTAGTGTGTGTGACTGCGTGGGCAAAGTTTTCCTCAGTATGTACACATAATATAGTATGTTTATCTATGGGTCTGAAGCTGCTTTTCTTCCCGGCAGCTCCTAAGATGTTGTTTATCCCTGCTGTCCCCAATGGCTCCATTTATATTCAATCATTAAGGGGTTTGGAGAAGACCACATTTACAGTGAAATAATATGCACTATAAAAAAATTTTTATTCCTTTTTATTTCACTGATTTTCCTGTATTTTTGAAATACATGAAAATTTCAAAAATTTACAAAAATAAACTGTGAATTTACATGTCTAATGTAAAATAACATGAAAAACCCATAGCTGTGAATAATCATAACATTTCTGTTATCTTAAGGAAACTTTTTGGGTTTTTCACGTAAACAAACTGTTACAATACATTCAGGAATTTCCCGTATTTTCACAAATATTATTTTTCTTATTTAAAAGAAAAAAGGGTTAAATTTAAGTTTAATACTGTAAAAACATTTCTTAAACTTGGTACAATTAGTAACAGTTAACCGTAACAAAAAACATTTGTTCTGTAACTTGACATAGATTTTCTTGTTAATTGACAAGTATTTCCTTTAATTATGGATATTTGGAAAACAAAAACATTGAATAAATGTTATTTTAATCAGTATATAGTGTCTACAAGTATTGTTAAACTGTCGAAACACAGTTTTGATCATTGAAAACAGCCACAATTACTGTAATTTCACAGCTTTTGACTTTTATTATAATTCTTAGATTACAAGTTAGATTAACATAGTATATAATTGCCCCAAATCGCCCGATGTCAGCTGGGATTGGCTCCAGCCCCCCACGACCCTGTACGCAGGATAAGCGGTTGACGATGGATGGATAATTGCCCCAAAGAGGTAAAATTACAGTTCACACCTTTTAATGGTGTTAAAAAAGAAAACTTGTAAAATTACTGGTTTGTGATGAAAAATTTATTTTAATGCCATTTTACAGATACTTTCTAAGAGTTTTAGTTTTATCCAAAGCGACTTACAATTGAGGTGGCACGCCTCTGGAGCAACTAGGGGTTAAGTGTCTTGCTCAGGGACACAATGGTGGATGGGTCACAGTAGGAGAGTGCACCCCGGTCTCTCACACCAAAGGCATGTGTCTTATCCATTGCACCATCACCACCCCACAGACCTTTTAAAGTACCACCACAATACAAATTCCCACAACTGATACTATTTATAGACCATTTATTCAGTTCCATGCTCACAACAAATAAGCCACACAAGTCAACCATTTCAGAGTAAATATTTGTTCTCCTGAAACAACATTATTTTGATTATTTACCTTATTGACGACATTTTCAGATCTATTCATTAGAAACCTAATTGGGTCAACATAAAGAATATTTTGGATACTGTTAGACACAGCTCCAAGATTAAAGTGCAATCTGAATGTAAAGTAATTGGAAAGTATTTCTTATTTCTCATTTTGCTTTGATAGGACTGTACAGAGACATGAAAGGCAAAGGAGAGGGGAAAATGGTGGTTTTACATACAGTGAACTTAATGCACAATCCAAAGACTTCTTCCCTGGTTTCAATATGATATTTTATGACTTTCTAAAGCCAGTTTTTGTATCTGGTAAATGTTGTTACGGCTGTATGTGTTTCTCTGTGCTATGCATCCTTGTTCCTTTTCTGTCCTCTAGTTCTGCCCCAGGAGTGCTACAGCTGATTGCTGAATTTGGTCCACCTGGCCTTGCAAGGCAGTGCACAACTGTGTGCACGGGAGTTGGGTAAGTCCAACATTTCTAAATTAAGTTGGTATACAAAAAAGATGCAAATATATGCAAGTAGAAAGACAAGTGCGAATGTGAAGTTTTTCTTGGCAGTCCAAATAAATCCATTTGTTTGCAACGAAGGTTAAAATGAAGGGCAACTGGACTTGGTTGAAGCTACTGGAAGACGTTTCGTCCCTTATCCAAAGGACTTCTTCAGTTCTGACTGACTGGCAGGGAAACTCAGCTATTTAACCTCAGTGGGGTCGTTTGCCAGGGTCATCGATACCGCTGGTTCGTTAGTGTTCCTTGTTGCTGTGACGACAGTCGTTACAGTCGTTAAGACTACCTGTGGCCAAGACTGAACGACCATCGTTGGTATCTTCACCTGAGGCCAATAGGTTACGTTTGTTGAGTTTCCTGGGAAGTGATGAAAGGACAGCATTGTAAGTGGGGGATAAGTGGTGGTGTAGACCCCCTCCCCTGTTCAATGACGGCTTCTCAACCCTGGTGTAGATGGCTTCCTTGACACCTTTTTCAAACCATCCATCTTCTCTGTCTAAAATGTGCACCTGGTGGTCCTCAAACGAGTGTCCTCTGTCCTTCAGATGTAAGTAGACTGCAGAGTCTTGACCTGAGGAGTTGGCCCTTCTGTGTTGAGCCATGCGTTTGTGTAGTGGTTGTTTAGTCTCCCCAATATACAGCCTGTGGATACCCTAAATGGACTTTTGTGAAGACAGCCACAAAATCCAAGAAGAACAAAACTACAGGGGAGGAGGAAAAGAAGGTCAAATGCAACAACATTGTGATTCCATACGTGTCTGGAGTATCAGAGAAACTCAGGAGGATTTTTAACAAACATAACATCCCTGTGTTTTTTAAACCCAAGAACACACTAAGACAGATGCTGGTACACCCCAAAGACCGCACACCCAAACACAAGAAAAGCAATCTAGTGTATGCGGTCCAATGCAGTGAGGAATGCACAGACCTGTATATTGGGGAGACTAAACAACCACTACACAAACGCATGGCTCAACACAGAAGGGCCAACTCCTCAGGTCAAGACTCTGCAGTCTACTTACATCTGAAGGACAGAGGACACTCGTTTGAGGACCACCAGGTGCACATTTTAGACAGAGAAGATGGATGGTTTGAAAGAGGTGTCAAGGAAGCCATCTACACCAGGGTTGAGAAGCCGTCATTGAACAGGGGAGGGGGTCTACGCCACCACTTATCCCCCACTTACAATGCTGTCCTTTCATCACTTCCCAGGAAACTCAACAAACGTAACCTATTGGCCTCAGGTGAAGATACCAACGATGGTCGTTCAGTCTTGGCCACAGGTAGTCTTAACGACTGTAACGACTGTCGTCACAGCAACAAGGAACACTAACGAACCAGCGGTATCGATGACCCAGGCCAACGACCCCACTGAGGTTAAATAGCTGAGTTTCCCTGCCAGTCAGTCAGAACTGAAGAAGTCCTTTGGATAAGGGACGAAACATCTTCCAGTAGCTTCAACCAAGTCCAATTGCCCTTCATTTTAACCTTCGTTGGATAACTATGACCTGGATAACTGAGAATCTTCATAGACATTTGTTTGCAAGTTTTTGGTATGCAAGCCAAAAGTACATTTTCAGATTTGACTGACTTTGCACAACAACACCTCTGGATGACCTAAAGAAACCACTTGGGTTCTTTAGCTCAATTGGAAAACATAAACAATGGCAAACAAAATCAACAGTATATCTATCCAAGGTCTGCAAGACATTAAGTAAGTTTCCCTTAATAATTGGCATGGTGACCAAATTCTTGAAAAATGTGTCAGTCCTTAGCCCTCTCCACAGAATTGGGGAAGAATTCAAGTCTGGTGGCTACATGGCTGCAAAAATGATAGATAACTACTCCCCCTCCACCACCAGCTCTTCCATTAAGTGTGAGTAATAAGCAAAAGGCAGATGATCTACACTAGCTTGCCGTTCCTTACATCCAAAAAGCTTTACAGCGTTTGATTTACAATATAACTGCATTGATAAATAGGACCGTGTGATCTGACGGTATACACTATATTGCAAAAGTATTGGGACACCCCTTCCGAATCATTGAATTCAGATGTTCTAATCACTTCCATGGCCACAGGTGCATAAAATCAAGCACCTAAACATGTGGACTGCTTCTACAAACATTTGTGAAAGAATGGGTCGCTCTCAGGAGCTCAGTGAATTC